TCCCTAAACTCTAGCCTGTTATTGGGGATAGAACTTGAGATTTGCTCTGTACCTTCCTTGTCCATGCAGAGTTATCCTGCACTCTGCCCCAAAAGGGCAACTCATCCATTATTCATTGTACAAGTGACTAGAGGTAGTTGGGAAGCTAGTGGAAAAGAGAAAATAAAGAGAGTACATTTAATTTCCTCTAGAGTGTATTAACTTTTTAATATCTTTTCTTTAAGCACATTCATGATAATTTTCTTGAAATAAATTCCCAGAAGTGGAATTTAGGGACTCAAGGGAATACATATTTTAGGGTATTTGGTACTGATTACTAAGTTAACCTCCAGAAAGTTTGGACCTATTTTCACCAGGACTGTCTTGTGATTATTGCTATTATTTTTATCGTGACCAATTTGATAGGCAAACGTTATTAAATTATTTTTGTTTGCACTCTTCCGACTACTAGTGAGTTACCATGTTTTTTACATATTAATTGTGCATTTGACTCAATTGCCTGTTTATGTCTTTTGCACTGAATGTTTGTCTTTGCCTATTCATTTTTCAGACCCTTTTACATAATACGAACCTGAATGCTCATATATGAGACATGGTAAAATGCACTAGTGGGAAATGGGACTTTGGTCAGATGAGCTCTGCCTCGCCACCAAATACCTTGGGCTATAGTTACCTAACCTCTCTCTGCTTCATATTCATACAATCATAACAGATGAAGAATGAGGGTTATGGAGGATGTTCTATTCTGAATGCTGTAGTATAATTAGTCATCCAGGGCCCCTTCCCCTTCTTAGCATGTGATCATTCTGGTGTTTTCTGGCTCTGTGCTGATCTTTGCAATATCCTTCCCCTATGCAGATGGTGAACGGTAGATTTCTTCCCCATCTGTTCTCTATCTTCTAGGATTTCATCACAACTATAGACTCCCCTATGACATCGTCTCTTGTTTTCTAGTACTGTTGTGGATGATTGTTTTATACAATGTATATTTTTTTCTGTTAACCTTAAGTATTTGGGAATGAGGAGAAAGAGACAGGGTTGCTCAATCTGCCACCGGGATTAAATCCCTAGAAATAGTCATTAACTAACAGTTCCAACTTTTTCTTCGATGCAAAGTGAAGTTGGAAAAATGGGATCCATGTTTGTTTTGTTTTGGTTTGGTTTTTTGCAATACGCGGGCCTCTCACTGTTGTGGCCCCTCCCGCTGCGGAGCACAGGCTCCGGACACGCAGGCTCAGCGGCCATGGCTCACGGGCGCAGCCGCTCCGCGGCATGTGGGATCTTCCCAGACCGGGGCACAAACCCGCGTCCCCTGCACCGGCAGGCGGACTCCCAACCACTGCGCCACCAGGGAAGCCCTTGTTTTGTTTTTAAAGAAATCTCTAGGTGATCGAATTTTTTTGTTAGTGACTCCCTTTTCTTGACAATTTGTCGAGAATATCATAGGTACATTTTCTTCCTATTATAACTTATCAATATTTTCTCATGGCCTACAAATGGTCAAATATTGTAATGTCACATGGGCATGGGAAAAGACATGTCTGTTCTGAGATGTGAAATTGATACATAAAATAAATCAGTCAAGTCACCTTTGCTAATCATGCCTTTCACGTCCTTCATGTTCTTGTTTATGTCAGGCCTGTTTGCGTGTCAGAGATTGTAGGTGGTTTAATAAAGTTTCTAAATATTATCAGGTTTCCATCTTCCTACCCGTCTTTGAGCGTTCCCTTTTGTGTGAGCATTGCTAGTGTGTACTTAAACTGAGTCCCGGCAGTCTTGGTTAACTCAGCTCAATGTAGCCACAGACCATAGTATTTAAGACTACACACCTGGAACCAGAAAACTGGAATTTGTCCCTCTCTACCACTTCCAAGTTTTGCAACTTATGGCGAGTTATTAAACCTCTCTATGTCTCAGTGTCCTTGACAATACAAATAGGTGCAATCCAATCTGCAAGGGTTTTGTGAAGATCAAATAAGTTACTGCATGTGAAACCCTTAGTATACACAGTCTGGCATGCAGGAAGCACACGGTAAATAGTAGCTCTATTTAGTACCAGCAGCCCCTTTGGGATTTCAGTGTCACATTGTGGGTCACTTTCAGCTTCTGTTGTTGCTGGGCATTGTCAAGCTTCCTATACCCATGAGTCTTTTTGGCAGATGTGGCTTTTCAGACTGCTAAGGGATGCCGTTGGGACCAGGATGCCTGTACAACACGGAGAGCAGCTCCCCTAACTCCTCAAAGTCTTTGCTTCTCTTTTCTTCTTGTGCCTCTTCCGTAGGAGATTCACCATGACCAGGGCCTTGAAAGAGGCTCTTCTCCATCACTTTATACATCAGAAGCTGGAGATTGCTTATGCCATAAACAAGCCATTTCCCTTCTTCGAAGGCCTCCGAGACAATTTCTTCATCACCGAGAGACTGTACCAGGTAAGTCACATTGACCGCTTTGCCATGGCAACCCAGCCCCCACCAAGAATGCTGGATCATTGAGGTCTCAAACCACAAGACCCCGGGGCTTCTAGAATTTGGAAGTTCCAGACAAAAATGGTCATTACCAGGGAAAGAAGGTGTCCAGGGTAGGTGACCTCACACCAGATGGCTTAAAACAAGGAAATGTGTTCTCTCACAGTTCTGGAGGCTAGAAGTCCAAACTCAAGGTGTTGCCTGGGTTGATTCCTTCTCGAGACTTTCTCCTGTCTTCTGGTGGTAATCCGTGGTAAACCTGGCTCACAGAAACATCACTTAACTTGCTGTTTCCGTCTCTACGCTGCCTTCTCCTCTCTGTGTCTTCTCCCTTTCTCTTTCCTTACAAGGACACTCGTCACTGTGATTTACAGCCCACCATAATCCAGGGTGGTCTCATCTCAAGATCCTTAATTACATCTGCAAAGACCCTTTTTCCAAATAAGGTCACTTTCATAGGTTTCAAGCGGACATACCTTTGGGTATGAGGAGGCACCATTCAACCCACTAAGGGTACCATCTCAACGCTTAAGAGCTTGTGCCCCACAGTCCATTCTGATGTGAAGCAAGACAGGCAGTGGGAGATATGGCTTTGTGGACAAAAATGACACTCTTTTCACATAATGTTGGTTGTTTAAAGCATTTCCTGAGCCCCAAGCCCAGAAAAGTGCTAGCACTGGTAGAACAATCTTCCCCCAGTCTTGGCCTATTTGGATCCAACCCTTTTTCAGATCATAACTCAGATGTCACTCCTCAGAGAGGGTCCTTGGCCCACTCATCTAATGAAGACCACCTCATTATTCTTCCCCACAGCAATCCATGCTTTCCCTTCAGAACACTGCTATCAATAGGAATTGAGTATTTTTAAAATTTGTGTTTATTATTTAATGCCTATCTTCTCCACCTGACAGTGCCTCTCCCCCAACACGGGTGGCACCATGTTGGTCTTATCTGTTGCTATAGGTACCCTAGGATGAGCTCACTGAGCCTAGTCATTTCTCAATAAGTATTTTGTAGTTGATTCTCTCCTGCCATGTTTCTCCTTTTGGCCAACCTCTCATCAGGAGGACTTCTCTGATTTCCCGTTTACGCCATTTCAAGTCGAAGAGAGAAGGAAAGAGAGAGCAGAGGCTAACAAGCAATCCACAGAATTGCCACTTGTGACCAACTCTTAGGTCCATTGCTGAAGAGTCCTGCCCAAAGCCTTGGAGAATTACACAGTAGCAGCCTTTGACTCCACTTTCCTTCCTTAACATTTCTCTCTTCCCTCAAATATACCTAAAATAAGGTTCACAAGAGCCTTATTTTCAAGAATGCTGAATTCCTGTGACCATCCATATATATATGAAGCTCCAAAAGTAAACCATCCAAATATATATGAAGCTCCAAAGGTAAACATGTGGAACTGTGATTTCTCTATGTTAGAGAATTTGACTATTGACATTTTGCACTAAATTCCTTCTTAACAGAGCAAAATCACTTTCTTACAGCTTAGAAAACCACAAGTGTGTAATAAATCTCCATTCCATTTTATAATCATTTATAATAATCCTTTACTCTGCTTTTTAAGGAATCTCTGGAAGCCTGTAGAAATCTGGTCCCTTTATCCAGGGTCGTGTACAACATCCTCACTCAACTGGAGAATGCGTTTAGTCTGTCATTACTGGAGATGTTATTCAGCCGAATAAACCTGAGTGAATACCCCAACTTGATGACGACTCTCAAGAGCTTCAAAAGGGGTATGAGGCTTCTTGAATAACTTTGGGGCTGTAGAAACATGATAGAAGTTGCTACGCTAAAAGTTTGGGCTGGTTTTCTGCCTTGTGGAACATGCACTTGAACTGCCCACTTTCTCTTTGGGAAGAGATGGACCATTCTCTCTCACGAGTGTGACAGGAAAAGCAGCCCCTGGCCCTGGTTCTTTAAAATGAATTTCTAGAGGACACAAACATTTCTGTCATACCTGTTCTATGAGTTGGGGGGAAATTGTACAATTTAGCATACTGGACAGTCTCTAGGGAAGGGAATGCATAAAGTGACAGAGACCGAGTCTGGCAGAAGGACAAGGAGAGCTAGAGAGGAAGAGAAATGGATAGGGATGGATAATAATAAGTATCTTTTTTTTTGAAGTATGATTGATATACAATGTTGTGTTAGTTTCAGGTGTACAGCAAAGTGACTCAGATATATATATATATATATATAATATATATTCTTTTTCAGATTCTTTTCCATTATAGATTGTTGTAAGATATTGAGTATAGTTCCCTGTGCTACACAGTAGGTCCTTGTTGTTGGTTTGTTTTGTTTTGGTTTGGTTTGGGTTTTGTTTGTCTGTTTGTTTTTTGAGTGCTTACTATGTGCCAGGCGTTATCCCAGGCACTTTATGTGATTATCTTATGTCATCTTTAAAACGATCCTACGAAGTCATTATTATCCCCATACGACACATAAGGAAATTAAGGCTCAGAAGAACTTTCCCAAAGTTACTTGTCTGTTAAGTGCAGAGCCAAGAGTCCTACTTGGGTCTCCTAATACCGGCTTCCAAGATTATGATCACTATCTTAAACTAGGACAGCTGGAGGACAGATTGTAAAGCTAGAGGAGGGAAGAAAGGTAGCTAAAGAGGAAGGAAGGGGAATTGTGGACAGAGAGGTTGAAGGAGAGAGTATGAGAAAGGAGTAGAGAATGAAGCTCCTTGAGGAAAGAGAAAGCTGAATAGGTAAAGGAGTATAAAAAGAGCAGTGACATTGCTGGGAAGAAAGTAGCAAGGGTAGGAACAGGCAGTAAAATCACTTAGTTGAGTCAAAGTACGTGGTTCATTTATCTGAGAACAGCAAGGGAAGGACCAGTAGATCACACTGAATTGTGACATTCTTATTAGTGGAGTCACCACTGTTGACAGCTCTTCGTCTGGTCTTTGACATTTTCCCATTAAGAGGCTCCTCCTCAAAGGGAGAAATGATTCCTTGAGCTAAAGGAGCAGCAAAAGAGAAGAGTCCTCCCCCAGGCAGGCACAGCTGCACGTGGGCCTGAGCTCTTGGCAGGATCAGGGCAGTGCTGGGAGAAATATGTGCTCAAAGGCCAGGCTAAGTAAATCTAAGAGTCAGAGGGACCCACACACTGATATGTACCTCCAACCCACCCCACACCCCCAGCCTGGCTGAGCTCAAGCATCTTTTTGGATCCAACTCTGCGATTTTGCTCTGGGACCCTCTCCAAAATCTGGCCTTTACTTTCCTCTTTTTGTTCACTAGTTGAGACAACTTTACTTCTGAAATAAATAGAGTAGAATCATAAAAGAAACCCGACCCTGGCCTTGCAGGGGAACGGCGTGCAGAAAGCCCAGGGCCTGGGGTACTGGGGACGGGAGAGAAGTTTGGGGTGGCCAGATCACAGGGTGCAAGGTGAGAAGGCATGGAAACCGAGTCTGCAGAAATGAGCAGAAACCAGAATATAGAGGTTCTAATACACTATGCGAAGGAATTTATATCGTCTCTTATTTGCTCCAGGGAGGTGTGAGATATTTATTTCTTAAAACAAGGATGACATTTAACATTATAGCATTGTACTTAATTGTCTAACTTCTGAAGCCAAAACTGAAGAAAATAAATCCCTGGGTACAAAGTCAATCTCAGCTTCATGTGTGAAACCACTTTGGTATGAGATCAGAGGTTAAAGCAGGTGTTATAGCACTAAATGTTCAAATCGAAGAAAGAAAACCTAAAGGGGCCACAAATGGTCGATGATGATGATGACTCAGTTCTGCACACCTGTGAGAGAGTGAAAGCCTCCATGCCCTTGTCCTATTGAATGTCAAGTATAAAGAAATCCCCTTCTCCAAATAATTCCGAGGTACTAATGTGTGATCCTTCACCAATCCCAGTTGTCATTTCCAACGGAGGGTGGAGCAGAATCACAATGATTCCTCTCGAAGCCGCAGCCAACCCAGCAGGAAGGAGCACTCCCTGGGCACTGCTGCCGCTGCCCACCTGCCAACACCCCTCATCGAGCCGCCCGCCCTGCTCACCCAGTGTCAGCGAGACCGGAGCACCTGCCCAGCCCAGCGCTGAGATCCTGCACGAGCAGCCCAGCCTTGCTGGCCTCACCGTGGCTCTCCCCGGAATCATCCAGGAAGGAAGGCTCACTCTGGGTGAGAAACAGACCCTGTCCAACACCTAGGGTGCCTGTGGCCCTAGAACCTCAGGGTCCTGTCTTTTTGATCTACTCCTTCCCGTGCACGCACCACCATACACAGCTCTTTCCAAGAAGGATGTGGGCACTGGCAGGGGCCTAGCTAAGCCCTAGAACCCAGAACACCTGCTTCTCGCCCCTTGAACAGCCCGACCCTCTGCCCTTTGGCCCCTGGTACTCTGCCTGCCCCTGACATTGTTTCCACTCTTCTCCATGACACCCTGTCCCTGTAACCTGTGATTTTTCTTCTTGTCTTCAATGACCAATGACAATTTGACATCCCAAATAAGTGATGAAAATTCACAAGAGATGCCCAAGCTACTCCGTCCCTGTTCAGGCAGTGTTGCTTGGGGCCGACTTGCTCAGCTCAAGGTGGCTGTGAAGGGAGGACACACACCTACAAGCCAAGAGGGCTGTGGCAGGAGCACCAGGAAAAATAACCGGGAGTGACAAGGAAAAACACGAGAGGGGGGCCGACGCACCAACACGGCTCAGGACCTCTTGTCAGGGATGCCATCACAGCCACTTTGATGCTGTCACGTCCAAGAGCCCTGTCAAACCAACACGCAAAACACACTGTTCTGAACTGGAAAGTAACTTGTGCAACACACCCACCCTCAGTGCTTACCGACTGCTCACCCTCTGATTACAGGGACCTTTCAGTTTCAACCGTATTCATTTTTATATGGTTTGGAGGTTATCGAAATTACTAGAAAAGATGATAAAATGTTTAAAGGTTGCTGGACCTGATGAGCTTCTAAAATTGTGTCATTTATCTCTCCCAACCATCAGGATAAAGGACTTTGATTACATTAAATGTAAATGTGGAATATTATTGGCCGCTGTCAAAAATGGTATCATAGGTTCTGAGCTCTCCAATTCCGAGAATAAAGGGCCCTGTTTGGTCCGGATGTTTTCTCCACCCATCTAAAAAGTACCATCCAAATAAGGTTAGCATAACCAGAAGCCAGTAACAATGGAAGAGTCCATCCTCTAGATTTTCAAAGGAAAAAAATAACGTGCCTGTGTTATTAAATGAGTAAGTGACTGCTTGAAAGGAAACGATTGGGGAATTCCCTGGCAGTCCAGTGGTTAAGACTTGGCACTTTCACTGCAGTGGGCCCAGGTTCGATCCCTTTTGGGGGAACTAAGATTCTGCAAGCCACACAACACAGCCAAAAAAGAAAAAAAGAAAGAAAGAAAGAAAGGAAATAATTGTTCCCTGTCCCCCTCTACCCCACCCTCGAGGGACCTTGGTGTTTGGTTGGCCCATCATTGTTACCTGCTGGAATAGATTGTTCTTGTTCCTCCCACTTCTGGTTCCTGCTCTTGGGTCCTCAGATCTGAAATTCCTTTTCTTCCTCTGCTCAGTGTCCAGTGACAACCTGATCCCCCAAATAAAAGATAAAGAAGACACTCAAGAGATGTCCTGCACTGCATCAGGCCCCGTGCCAGGTAATCTTGATTTGGACAACTTAGGCTCATGTTAGCTTTCGCATCTACCACGAAGAGAAGTCATTTGGATCATCCGGGCATGGGGCTCTCCTCTCCGCTCTCCATCACCTTCTTGGCCCAGCTCATGCTGCTCACCCCATCCTCAGGAGCTTGGAAAGGGAGACAGAGTCCCTGGGAAGGGTGAGGGAGACAGGTCTGGGAAAGGTGGACCGGGAGGCGGCACTGAGGGCGAGGGACAGGAGCCCCATTAGTACTTGCCCAAGTGAAGCCAAATCCAGCCTCTATACCCAGACATCGAATTATATCTCAGAGACAGAGTTTTGGGTGAAGCAGAAAAGAATAGTTTTATTGCTTTGTCAGGCAAAGGGGGCCACAGCAGGTTGGTGCCCTCAAAACTGTGTGTCCCAACTTGGAGCGGGTAGTGAGAAGTTTCACAGTAATAGTTCAAAGGGAGTGTGATCAGCTCGTGGACATTCTTCTGATTGGTTGGTGGTAAGTGGGAGTCAGCATCATCAACCTTCCGGCTTCAACCAGTCTGGGGTCTACGTGGTCGTGGGCAGCATCCTGTTAACTTCTCCCACCTGGTGGGGGTTTCAGTATCTGCAAAACAGCTCAAAGCTACCCTTATGCGTACCCCTTGGGGGGGAATCGGGACCCTGCCCCAAGGCTGCGCTATTGTTTCTTTCACCCGGTCCTCCCTTGTCTCCACTTCCCCTCCCTTTCCTAATTAGCATCCATTTGAACCTGCTGGTTGGAACTCAGGGAAGGTCATGGAGGCTGAATGATGCCTATTTCCTATAATCAAGAAATGGGGGGACACAGAAAGCCTTTTGTGCCCACGAGCCCCACAGTGTCCTGCTCAGTATCATGACCTGGACTCCAAACACCACTAAGGGGTCTGCAGAGGGAGAACATTCATCTGCCAGGAGGCAATGTGGTGGGAACCCTGGGGAAAGGACAAGGGGCTGAGTCATGGCAGGACTATTTGACTCAGCCACTCTCTGAGGCCACTTCAAGAAGGCAAATGTCCAAACTGCTGCATCAAAATGCAAAGCAAACAGAGACACTGAATTGGTGCTCCACACATGGACGGTCCTCACTCCCAGCCCTCACCCTGACTGGGGGAACTTTCACATTCAACCCTCATCATTTGTACATCATTTGGATTTTTAAGATATTTAAATAATTTGAAATGAAACAAATCATTTTTAAAGTCTAACGACTGCTTGCTAGCTGCCTCAGTTAGCTAGTCCTATGTAATATGGAATTTGAGACAGATCTCACAGCCTTGTGTAAACAAGGAAGTGACTGCCTTTTGTGAGATGGGTCTTTATCTGTCATGGCTTCAAGTCCTTCTGTCTTTCTTCGTGCAGCAAAAGCTAGAGGAACTTTGTATGTTCTTGCTGCTAACAAGTGCTGGCAAGTACAAGCTGACCCCTGCTTTCTTCGACAGCAAATAGGTGGAAATACATAAGGCACTTAACCTCCTTCACTATTTCTCAAGATGAAATAATCACAGATACAGCAGTTTAGAGAGATCACATCACAGACGTCTAAGCAATAGCATGTACTTTTCATGTGGCAAAAGCATTCATCCTCATTGTGGCCGTCAGAATTCAAGATCACCATGCACACTAGCTGCTGAGAGTCTTAGAAAGGGAAACCTTTCTAAAGGGCTCAAACTGAGCCCTCCTCTGCGGAGCAGGTGTTCCCTGGTTCACTGTGATAATCACACAGGTAGCAGTAATCACAAGTTGATCAAACCAAGGCAGAGCCAGGGAACCCTGGCGAGTCCCCAGACCTGTGCTGCAGGTGCTCTCCACCCTCTGGTTCTCCCACCAATCTCCCTCAGCACTTTCTCGTCAGCCTGTTCTCAGTTCTAAAGCGAATTATATATTTTTTGTCAGTGAAAAGAGGTGATGCTCCTGAACAAAGTGACCCAAAGGAGCTCCAAGAGGCATCCAGGGCACCTCCCAGCAAGAAAGGTAAGGATTGCCTTTCTCTTGAAGATCTCAGGAGGATGAATTTGGAGCTGCATCTTATCATAAGCACCCAGCACTGCATCTTCCTCTAAGGCCTTCATGAATATTATAGGGAAACGAGAAGGCATTTATGGCCATTGAAATATGCACCCATCGGAATTGTTTGTTCAGAAATCATCAAGGTCTCCTACACACACAGCTTCTTATAGGGTTAGTCGCACTTCCCTCTTTAACTGAACGTTGGTTCCCCAAGAGGACTCTGCTTCCTCTTAAGACAAGGCTGCATATTTTCTGCTACCACTCACCCCATGGCTGAAGCCAGGTTGGATGCCACCCCTTGCTACACGCTGCCCCACCCGGCCCCTTGCTCCCTGTCCCCTCCTTTGAGGCTTAGCCATTCAAGTGAAATGCTCACTCCCTTTTCATCACTATCATCTCTTGACTTTCCCACTGCTCCCTGGAAGAACTCAAGGCCGACTTGGAGTCTTTCTGTCACTTCAAGTCCTGCCATCATCGTGGACATCTTCAAGGCACGTGTGGATAACAGACCCATCCAATATCCTGACCTCTCAAATCCTCTTCTGCTTATTTCCAGTGACCTTTTCTCCCCACCCATTCTTGCCCTCCCGAACCCAAAGGTGATCCACAGGCCTTTTCATCATTTAAACCTGGCTCAACTTCCCAATAGTTAATTTGAGATTTCCTTTTTTTTTTTTTTTGACACGTAATGCTTGAAATTTTCTCCTTCTATAACTATTGCTCAACTTCTGACCTCTCCTTCTCAGCCCAATCTATAAAAATGAATTCAAAAAATCCCCCCCTGATTTCTTCCTTACAGTTTGTTTCCTCTGCAGCTTCCTTCAATCTCATTTGGGTGACCAGTCCACTGGCCTTTTGCTTCTCCAATCCATCATCTGCATTTCTTTCATGACCCTTCTTACCAGTTCAGAGTTGAAGATCCATCGTTTCAGTAACCTTCTGCTGTCTTCACCTGCCTTGCCTCTCTGTCTTTTCCTAGAACTCTCTGGCAGATGTTCGAGGAAACTATTGTCTTGTTCCTGCACACTGCATCTGAAATCAGGCACTGCTGGGGACAGGCACACAGCTGAACAGTGCGTACCCACTGTGTCTTCATGATTCCAGCACAAATGATCCCTCTACACTGCGTCACAGCTCCACTTCCTGTGACAATCCTTTCAAACCTTGAGCAATTTTTTCCAAACCTCTGATGCCTCACTGCCTCCTTTTTTGCATGACAGATGACCTTTTCTCCTGTTAAATAGAAAAAATCAGATGGGAATTCCGTCACTTCCTGCTCCCACCCTGCAAACCCCAACTGCATCTTTCCTCTCCTTTCCAGCTCCTTCTTTTTCTCCAAGGTAATCCTTCCACCTCTTCTGACAGTATCCATGGTCCCTTCTCTTCCCTGAGAATTCAGCATCTCCCTCTCACAAGGACATTCATTCAACCAATGCCCAAGCCTATCACAGTTCATAAAAGGAACTTTCTCTTGATCTTCATCTCACTTCAGCAGCCTCCATAGCTCTCCCCTCCATTTCACAACCAAACTTCTAGAAATGAGTTACCTAAACTTACTGTCTCCATTTCTTCACTTCTCTCTCTCCTCTGCCACTTCAGAATTTCAGCATCACCTAAGGTCACCAATGACCTCCTCGCCACTGTGGTTTGAGGACCCAAAGTAAAAGCTAAAAATTGTTGACATATGAGGTTAGTAGATCAATGTTTGTAGCTATAAAAGATGATCTGTGTCTTTTCTTTTTAGGAAAGAAGAGAAAAAGAAGTATCTGGTTAACCTCAAGGAAGAGACACCAGAAAAAAAGCCTCCCGAGAGGTAAGATGAGAGCACAAGAAGGGGCTGGAGGCTAGAGACAGCTCATCCTTGTCGGCCAAGATGTGGGAGGTGGGATTTTATTCTAAATGCAATGGGGAGCCACTGAAGAGATCTAATCAGTGAAGTGACATGATCCAATTTTAAACGACGAGACCAATATTGGTGTTACACAAAGAATGAATTGGAAATAGAAAAGAATGGAAACAGGGCAACCCCTTGAGGGGGCAGGTGCCATGGGAGTTGATAGTAGCCTGGATTCAGATCTGGCAGTGGAGATAGAAGAAGAGGGTCTATTCAAGATCAGTTGAAGGTAGAGCTCATAAGACTTGGTAAATTGGAAGCTGGGGATGAGAGAGAGAAATCAAGCCTTGCTCTTCAATTTCTGGCTTAAATGGCTGAGTGAATGGTGACGCCGTTGCTGAGAAAGGATGCAAATATACTGGGAGGAAACTTTTAGAATTCAATTTTTGACCTGCTCGTTTCTAGATTTGTGCTAACCTCCTATGCACGTGTGCCAGGTGTGTGCTTCGTCAAGTACTGTGAGGCTCTGAGATATTACGCCCTCCTGCAGAGTGATGTTCTTCATATATATGAATATTGCAGAAACACAAAGCACCTGGGTCAGGGGAAAGAATTCTTTATTGTTGTTCACAGCCAGCTCAGCACGGCAGCATTTTTCCCCCACACGCAGACCCAGAGGCATGAGAAGAGAGCTGATGAAATCTTCCTGTGTGAGTGGCAGATTATACCCTATAGACACAAGAGAAAGAATGATGGATTTTCTGCCCTGTTTATATACAAGACGAGGACAGCCATCCTCTCCTCCTGAAAAGAGAAAACATTTTCTTTTGCTGCTTTGCGATAAGATTGAAAAGATCCTGGTCCTCACCCTAATTTGGGAGAATTTAAATGCCTCTTTCCAAGAGGCAGAGAAACCCCAGGTGTCTCCAGCCTTTACTAAAGATGTCTCCAAGTTCTGGGCTTCATCCCCTTTGACATGTAAACACCTAGGGATAGAGTGCTCCAGTATCCCTGGTACTTTGCCACTTAACCTAGGAACCTAGCCCTGGCTGTAACCCTTTGGCCATGTCAGGAGATGAGAAGTTTTATTACCTTTTTGGATTAAACAGCAATTAACTAGCTACAGATTTATTTTCTATGGTATATGAAAAGTGAAATGATTCTAGAGGAAGTGAAAGCAAACATCCCCTATCTTTATACTGTATACGCTTTTGTGTCTCAGGAGGCTCGGGCTTTTTACAGAAGCACTGAGAAATCAAGGAAACTTAATTTCCCCACAGTATGACAATTTGGCACACTCAATAAAAAATCTGGTCCAAAGATACAAATATAAAATTCGTTGGCAAAATAAAGGGAGAAGAGAACCCTAACGCTAACACCGCCCCCTCTCACCTTCTGGCATTGCAAATCCTCTAGGTCCCAGCCTCACTGTTTCACGTTCCCTACTAGAGGCGCCCAGGGACCCCTGGATCTCTCCTGTCTCCTGTATCACACACAGGCCCTAGGGAACCTGGAAAAGTGCTTTACAAGACTCCTCTGCTGAAACAGACCATCTGGCCATGTTTACTTGGATGTGGCACTTTCTGGCAGCAGGGGTCTCAAGCCAGGAAACAGGAAATCAGCCCCAGTGCTCTGGGATTCCCCCAAATTTTTCTGATTGATTTCAAAAGGTTGCACAGAGCGTGAGAGCAGATGTTGAGTTTGGGTGTGGGGGACGGGGAAAGAAAGGTGTACACAAGAAAAAATGTATAATTACGGAGAAATAGCAGGGGAAAAGTGAGGCACAGGGGTATAGAGATCTTAAAGTGAGGCGACTGGGAGTGTGAGGAGGAGGTCACTGGGACCCCAGTAAAAACCCTCCTCAGCGGGAGGAGGAGGGCCACTGGGACCCCAGTAAAAACTATTCACAAATCACTGTTTGGCCAGGGGCAGCCTTACCTGGGCATGGAATCCAAAAGACGCTCCACGTGGCGGAGCAGGTGACTCACAGGGAGGACGACTCAACCAGGAACACAAAGGTCATGACAAAAGCAAAAAAGAGGGCAGAATGTGCCCAAACGCCTGCACCAGAGGGTAAGGCTGGTGATGGAATTTGTCATCTGAATGCTCAGCGTGGGAGGGTCTCTCCTGCAGCCCACAATAAACCAATTACCTATTACCATAAATAACATATTTTTATGAAAAATAAATATATTTTTCAAATAAAAAAATTAGGTGAGTGGTATCATTGTACATTTTTGCAAATCTCTTTAATGTCTACCTTTATCAAAGATGGCTGGATTCTTAAAAAAAAAACATTTTTTCACTGTCTTTTCCATTTGCTTCCTTAATATTTTTGTATATATCTTCATTGTATTATACTGAAAGCTGAGAGGGAACATTTTTAATAGCATCAATCTATATCTTGTTAACAATTGCTTTCTATTTTTAAAGGTTCTTTTGAAATTTTTTTCTTTTTTCTTAATTGAAATATGTTTGATGTACAGTATTATGTTAATTTTGGGTACCCTATATAGTGGTTTGACATTTGCATACACCATGAAATGATCACCATAATAAGTGTAGTAAGAATCTGTCCTCATACAAAGTTAGCACAATATTTTTGACCTTATTTCTTATGCTGGATATTATATCCCCATAGCTTATTTATTTTATAACTGGATGTTTGTTTTGGGTTGGCCAAAAAGTTTGTTCAGGTATTTCCTTAACATCTTACAGGAAACCCAAACAAACTTTTTGGCCAGCCCAATACCTCTTAATCTCCTTTACCTATTACCCGCTCCCCCACCTCCACCATCAAGGACAGCTGGGCTCTTATTCCTGCTTCTGTATTCAGTCAGTTGTGATTTGTTGCTTTGGTTGAAGCATAGGAAGAAAATCCAGCCTCACACAGATCTGTAGCTGAAAAAGGTGGAGTATTTTAACAGTCTTTTGAGATATCTGTGGATATTCGCTTTTGATACTACACCAAAACTCAACAAGGGATAGTTTCTTAAAGGTTAGTTGTAACATAGAGTCTGAGACCATATACTCTGTTGTAATAAAATGTCTTATGCTATCTTGTGTTTTGAGTGGATCTTCTACTCATGATTTTATAATATCATAAACAATTAGAAAATTTTGGTTCACTTAATTTTACAGTGAGCTTGCAACTCAAACAATCACTTGAGTATTAGTCTTGAGACAACATGGTACTTCAAGATGCAGCAAACTGCTTTACATGTCCTACCCAGGTTTTTACATATGCTATTAAAAAGATGTGTCCTTAAGGGTAGAAATTTAATTAAATTAATAATTTTAACTGTTTCATCAAGAACATTCTTAAATGAAACTGGCTTTTTTTTTTCCATGTTGAGTAAGTGGTGGTGAAGAATGCAATGCCACCTTCTAAGGTTTGGGGACATTGCTTTGATTTGTACTGAGGCACCAGCATTTTTACCTGCCTTGTCCCTTGCTTCATCTTTGCAAAAGTCAACATAGCAAAAAAAGGCAAAGAACATCTAATTATAAAAACAATTCTGACCTTGAAGTCTCCTGAAAGTATTGCCAGGGCTCCCCCAAACCTCTGGTCCAGGGGCTCAGATGACTGCCCCCCACTGGACATTCCATTAGTGGAGGAACCACTGCTGACCAGCCTTGCTCTGCTCCTCCCCTGAGTGGCAGACAGGACCAGCGGTAGAATTATTCTCAGGAGGTAGTCGCAGGGTCTCATCAGGACTGGAACCTCCAGCCTTCAGCTCCAGAGTGTGTAAGGTCCTTCCTGGGTCTCTGGGAGATTCCGAGTGGGCTTTCCAGAGGGCATTTACTGAGATATAAGATGAGTGTTGTTTCTTTTTTCAGAGGTCAGTGATGACACTTCAGAGATGGATGAAGGAAAGAGACCCCAGGAGCCACCCAGCACACCACCAAGACTCACCCACGGTAAAGGTGAGGGATTGCCAGTCTCTCAGTATGGTCATCAGGAGCCCAAACTTAGAGCTGTTTTACTCTGAGTCACAGTTTCTCAGCCATTTTTTCATTATCACTGCCCATTTAGATTTTTTTTTCCAATCATGAACACTACCCCCCAGGATATTTCAATACCACAAGTATATATCCATTTCTGTACTGGATATATTTATTTGTGCTCTATACATAAAAAGAGTAAGTTTTTTTCACCCCCAAGAACCAATTTTGGGGCAACTTACCACTGCCAAGTATTCATGCTCTAAGTATATTCATGGTACTTTATTGCAGTGCCAAGCCACCCAGGTTCTTCCTAAGATCCCAATCTCCATGTTTCTCACATGACCTTTCTGTGAAAATTGAGATGAGAACAGCTCATCATAAACACAAATGTAATACTATGACTGAGCACGAGCGTCTCACATTGTTGTGGGCATACGCTGGAAAAATGGTGCACGTTAATTCACCCCTCACCATGGCCACTGTTACTCACATTGTTACTGTTATCCTTGGAGGGAAAAAAAAAGCAAAGCATTCTTCTGTTTGCTGGTAATTCAGTCACTGTGTCACATCTTCACAGAACTCCCACAGAACAAATGTGACTTTCAAATGACAAATATCTAATTATTGTCAGAAAGAATGAATTACATTTGACCGTATTAAAATACAAACTATCATTTTTAACAAGTTTTTCCTGCATTACACTGACTCATACAATGTATATTTCTAATTTTATCCTGAATAATATATTTTATTTTCACAACCACCTTTGGAGAAATTTGAATGATTTACTCAAATTTGAGATGTAAAGGATTAATGGGTTTTCCCAAGATCCTGTGGATAAAGGCTGGCTGGCACAGGACTAGCATCTTGGTCCCTAGAACCCTCTTCAGGAACCATCATCCTCCTTTATAATGAAAGGGATAGAAATAATACTGTCAAAGCTTTACCAACTCAGTATTGTCTGAAATGAATGTGGTCACAAAACATAAAGATTGCTTATTTAAAAATCACTTTCTTTCTCATACCTTCTAGATCCCATGGATAAGGGAAGCAAACTGCCTTTGGGAGAATCTCCTGGGGAAAAACGTAAGTGTAAAGAACTTATTTGGTCTCTGTTAGGGTGGGTTTGATAATATTTTTATTGATTTTATGGCCTTCGGGCTACAAAAGACATCTAAGCCAGAAAAAGATGTGTGCTTCTTTGCAGATGTGTGCTTTTTTCAACATAGAAACTTTTTCATACTATAAAAGCAATATGCTGTAGCCTTTGAAATTAGCTTGCTGTGTGTGACAGAAAACCGCATCATCCCCCCCAAAATAGTGGCTGAAATTAGAGAGCTTAGTTCTGTCTCGTACAGAAGTAGGTGGTCAGGGCTCGTGCCATAACGCAGTTCATTCTGGGTGTTGCTCCCTCATCCTCAGCATGCAGCATCTCCTTCACTGGGGTCCAGCCAGCAAGTGTGCATTCCATCCAAAGGAAAGCGGCAAGGTCAAGGAGAGGCATGCCTTCTCTCCCGAAAGACACTATCTGTATGTTGCATTTAGTAATTGTTACCATTTCATTGCCAGGACTAGTTACATGGTCACACCTGACTGCAAAGGAGGCTGGGTAATGCAGTCTTTATTTTATTGTTTTTTTGTTTTGTTTTGTTTTTTTGCGGTACGCGGGCCTCTCCCTGCTGTGGCCTCTCCCGTCGCGGAGCACAGGCTCCGGACGCGCAGGCTCAGCGGCCATGGCTCACGGGCCCAGCCGCTCCGCGGCACGTGGGATCTTCCCGGACCGGGGCACGAACCCGTGTCCCCTGCATCGGCAGGCGGACCCTCAACCACTGCGCCACCAGGGACGCCCTGCAGTCTTTATTTTAGAAGGACAAGTATCCAGCTCGAAATCAGCAGCTTTACTACGAAGGAAAAGGAAAGAACGGAGAAAGAGAAACAACCAGCCCTGCACACTGTGTGGTGGGCGGTACTACGGCTCTCCACTGTTTCCGGTTCTCCTTCCCTCTTCCCAGACACTTGGGAAAAGCTGCATTTCCCAGCTCCTCGCAGGAGACAGCGCCATGGTGCTAGTTATGAGCAAGGAACTGGTGAGATGGGTGTCACTCCTGAGTCAAAACACACGAGATACTGCGTAGCTCTTCACACTTTCTTACCCTGATTGTAGAAGTGTGTGGAAGAGGGAGGTCGCAAAAGGCCAAGCAGTGTGGATCTCAGCACCACTCATAGTGGACAGCTGCCCTGGAGACCCCCGTCCTGCAGAGAACTCTGCATGACAGAGAAATACACTGTTGTATATTAAGCCACCAAGATTTGGTTTTGCTTGTACTGCAGCATAGCCTCTCCTGCCCTGCCCAATACAATGTTCCTCATAAAATCTGCAAACAGTACAGAAAGTTATTACTCAGGAATTTAAATACCTATTTAATCTCTTTCCCCCACCTTATTTTTATACCTTACAAAAACACATACATTCTCATATATATGTATTCTTTATATGTATACATTCTTTATGTATATATATACATGCTCATACTACCTAGTCCATCCTATAAACACTTTTAAACACCGTTTTCATTATTGTGTGATTAACAATTTGTTTCAATAATAACCTGTTGGTAGTAAGTTAGGCTATATCCAATTGTTATTTGAAAATAGAAATCATATTGTGTGTGTTGGTATCTTTGCACACTTGTCCAATAATTTCCTCAGAATTAATTTCTGAAAACAAGATTACTTTGTTAGAGTCTATATATCTTAAATTTCATATTTGTTACCAAACTGTTCTCCAGAAAATGTATTTGTTTACATTTCCTTTAATAACACACGAGTGTTCATTAACTACATGCTCATCAACCCAGACATGATAAAACTTTTTAAAAGTTTGGGTATAATTAAAACTAAACAATGCATTTTCAGGGGATTATTGGTGGTCTAAAGATGCTTTTTAGGGACGTCCCTGGCAGTCCAGTGGTTAAGACTTTGCTTTCCAGTGCAGGGGGTGCAGGTTTGATCCGTTGTCGGGGAGCTAAGATCCCACATGCCTCGGGGCCAAAAGAACCCTAAAACATAAAACAGAAGCAATATTGTAACAAATTGAACAAAGATGTTTAAAAAATGGTCCACATCAAAAAAAACTTTAGAAAAAAGACACTTTTAAAATAAATGTGTCATTTGTATTTCCTCTTTTAGCACTTCCAATTTATGCTTTTTGCCCACTTTCCTAGTGTACTATTCATCTTTTGCTTTATCTATTAAAAGACAGTAACCCCCTAACATTACATATATTGCAATTTTCCCCTTTTTTGTTTTAATATTGTGCGGATGTTTTTTGAAGTATGGACATTTAAAATTTTTAAGCAGTCAAATTTGTTCATCTTTTGCCTTTACAATTTGGGTCCTTGGCTAAGGACCTTCCTTCTTTGGCTAAGAAGATCTTTTATATCTATGGCTTATAACAATGTCTCTATATATTTTCTTCTAGTCTTGAAAAAACTGGTTATTAATTAGAAAATGATATATTTTCATGTTAATAATTTAGTATATCTCTATTACTTCTTTATTCAATCCTTTTTCATTTCCGAGTACTTTCTTCACATAGGTCTCCTGGTTTTCTTGCCTCCCCAAAGTGATGGGAAGATAGACAAAAATTTTACTTAAAACGTATTGACGGGCTTCCATGGTGGCGCAGTGGTTGAGAGTCCGCCTGCCGATGCAGGGGACACGGGTTCGTGCCCCGGTCCGGGAGGATCCCACGTGCCGCGGAGCGGCTGGGCCCGTGAGTCATGGCCGCTGAGGCTGCGCGTCCGGAGCCTGTGCTCCGCAACGGGAGAGGCCACAGCAGTGAGAGGCCCGCATACCGCAAAAAAAACAAAAACGTATTGACATTTCAAGCTTGTAGATCAATATATATAGCCATAAGAGATGATTTTCTTTTCTGTTTTAGGAAGGAAGAGAAAAATACATAGCTGGTCAAGTTCAAAAAAAAGACAGAAAAAAAGTCTCCCAAGAGGTAAGCAAGAAGGGTGAAGTCGTCATTCCCTTAATGTTCATCAGGGTTCTTCTCTCCAGCCACACACGGCCAGCCGGGTGTCACTAGAGCATGGCCAGCCCCGTCTCGACCCCTAGGTCATCCCATCAAAGGCCCCTCCTCACAAAAGGAGAACCATGTTGATTCCAACAGGCTTCTTTTCTCTCGTCATTGGGAAGGAATGGGGTGGAGGTGGACAGAACGCCTCAGTCAATTTTGAGATTAGGACTGTGTCCAGTGCAAGTTCAGAGACAGGAAGAATAGACAAAGCAAACCTGAATGTGCAGGCAGGATTCAGACTCCCAATCCCAAACTGGAGTTAGATTTGTTGTCACTGAGTGTTCAAAACCACCTGAAGCGATGCTTAGCATGCATTGACTCCATGCATGAAAATCATGTTATTTGCAGTATAAGAAACAAAAATGTATGTAGCTCTGCATTTCTCTGGATCCTCTGCTTTATTCCTTTTTGTGCTCATCACCTTTTCTCTTTCTCCTCTGCATTCTCTTCCTCTTCCCCTTCCCCTCTCCTTTCTCCTTTTTGCTTTAGTTCAAGGTGTGCCAGTTGGTGGGGATTCCCTTGGATTTCCAGCCCTTGAATGCAGCACCCTGAGAGGGAATCTCCTGTCAGCCCCCAAACATGAATCATGACATGTGTTCCACTGCTTTGGACATTCCCCAAATTTTTCTGTTTGTTTCCAACACCCCTCAATCTTGGGGTTTGACCTGGGTGGGGGCCAGGATCTCCTTGGTCGCCCTTCTCCTCTTCTTGTCACTTTCTCTCAGTCCCCAGTGCCACTGTCTCCTTGTCGTATGCTGAGTTCTCTCCACCAACGACTTCTAGGAAAACTTGACACTCAGACCTCTAAGCTTCTTCTGTGGGTATATAAAGGTAATTTTTGAAACAGAGAAATCTCTTTCACTCTCAACAAATTTGTGTTTCAAGATTTAGTGTAGCATCTCCAAAATGGCCTCAGCTGAGCAGTTTCTTCTCAGATCTAGCCAGCATCTGCCCCTTCCCTGAAATTTATTGATTTAATAATTAGGGAACTCTGGACATTACAATGTATAAGGGTGAAAAATACATAATTTGAATATTTTGTAAAATATGCTGCCTGTTACACATTCATTCCACAGAGATGAATTGAGTTGAGGGGTGTGCTGGCACATGTCCTAGGTTCTGAGGACTCAGCAGTGAGCAAAACAGAAAACTCCCTGCCCTCATGGAGCTTAGATTCTCGTTGATACACATGTAATTAATAGTCAGAAAGAGAAGTTGAAGGGGGAAAAGAGAAACAGGAGTTTGGGGGAGAAAGAAAGATACCCACAAGAGAAAAGAGGAGTAATTATGGAGAAATAGCATGATAAAAGTGAGGCAGTGGGTACAGAGATCTCAAAGTGAGGGAACTGGGAGTGCGAGAAGCTTCGGGGAGGGGGAGGGCCGCTGGGACCCCAATGAAAACTCTTCACAAATCGCTCTTTGGCCCAGGGTCAGCCTCACCTGGACGCAGAACCCAAGAGATGCTCCAGGTGGTGGAGCAGGTGACTGAAAGGAAGGACGACTCAACCGGAAGTTTGAAGGTCATGACACGGGCCCAGAAAGCAAGGGCTGAACATGCCCCAAAGCCTGCACCAGAGGGTAAGGCTGGCGATGGAATTTGTCACCTGGATGCTCCATGTGTGGGGGGACTTCCGTGGAGCAGGCACAGGGTGATGCAGATGCGTAAAGTTACTAGTAGAAGGAAGGAGGGGGCAGACGAATGGGCATGAAGACAGAGCAAGAGTCTCTTGGTCTTGGGGGTGGCTGTTGGGAGAGGTAACCGTGTTCTCAGGGTGCAGGTCGCCTCAGCTGTGCCCTGCAGAACCCCATCCCTGCTCCCCTGGGTCTACTGTTTACATTTCTATCAGCAGAGCCACCTCTGCTCCACGGAGTCTGGGGGCTCCTCTCTGATTCGGGCCGATCCAGCGACAGGAGTGGCATCAGACTTCAAAGTGGACACATTCTCTGTTTTATTTCTTAATGATTTATTTCTGGAAGTGAAGAGGTTGGTCAGTGGGTCTGCATATTTAAAATTATCCCATACTGGGAATTCCCTGGCGGTCCGACTCCGCTCTCACTCCAGAGAGCCTGGGTTCAGTCCCTGGTTGGGGAAATAAAATCCCACAAGCGTCAAGGCCAAAAGCTAAACTAAACTAAAATAATAAAATAAACTAATCCCATACTGATGATCAAATTGTTGCCAGTTTAGACTCCCATGAATGCGGTGTGGACACCCTCTTCCCTACATCTTCACGAACACCAGAAATAACAAGACTTTTCTGTTTGTCGAACATAAAGGCCAAGAATGATAGTCCGCCAGTGTTTTCCTTGGAATTTCTTTGTGCTCTGTGAGAGGTTAAATAACGCTTTGGAAGGTCACAGTACTGCTCACCAGCATCTCAGAAGGTCACACACCCCTGCCCTGTGGACTCAGGAATGGCCTCGTGACTTGGCCAAAGAAATGTGGGTGCAAGTGAGAGGGCTACTTCCAAGCCAAAGCTTGAAGAACTTTTTCTAAAAAGGGCCAGAGAGTGAATAATTTAGGCTTTGCTGGCCATAAAGTCTCTACTGCAACTATTCAATGCTGCCATTTTAGCGTGAAAGCAGCAGAGACAAAAATATAAACAAGTGGGCCTGGCTGTGCTCTAATAAAACGTTAATACCAAAACAGGCATTGGGGGCCCCCCTGGTGGCGCAGTGGTTAAGAATCCGCCTGCCAATGCAGGGGACACGGGTTTGAGCCCTGGCCTGGGAAGATCCCACATGCCGTGGAGCAACTAAGTCCGTGCGCCCCAACTACTGAGCCTGTGCTCTAGAGCCCGCGAGCCACAACTACTGAGCCCACGTGCCGCAACTACTGAAGGCTGCACGCCTAGAGCCCATGCTCCACAGCAAGAGAAGCCACCACAATGAGAAGCCCGCGCACCGCAATGAAGAGTAGCCCCTGCTCGCCGCAACCAGAGGAAGCCTGCGCACAGCAACAAAGACCCAAAGCAGCCAAAAATAAAAATAAAAAATAAATAAATTTATTAAAAAAGAAAAAAACAGGCATTGGGCTGACTTGGCCCTTGGGCTGTAGTTTGCTGACACCTATAATAAACCACTGAGATTTAGGAGGATCATAAATGACTATAGCATTATCTAGCCTATATTTACTAAGATGCCTGTTTTTTTTTGTTTTTTGTTTTTTTTTTGTGCGGTACGCGGGCTTCTCACTGCTGTGGCCTCTCCCGTTGCGGAGCACAGGATGCCTGTTTTTTAAACAAATTTTTCTTCAGAATGTTTTCTTTTGAAGGTCCCCTATTCATATTTGCCTATTTTTATATACGACTCTTCTTTTTTTGTTGTTTAATCAATTTGGGAGATTAACCCCTTGTCGCTGCAATTTTCTTATTTTGTTTTTGTCTTTTAACTTACTTGAGAAGTTTCTGACTGTGGAGGGTTTAGATTTTTTTTGGTTTGGTTTGGTTTTGGGGGTTTTTTGGCCATGCTGTGCGGCTTGTGGGATCTTAGTTCCCGGACCAGGGATTGAACCTGGGCCCTCGGCAGTGAAAGCACAGAGTCCTAACCACTGGACCGCCAGGGAATTCCCAAGAGTCTTTAATATTTAGATATAGGCACATCAGTTTATTTTTTCCAGTATGGTTTACATCAGAGTTTCTCAACTTTTGCACTGTTGTTATTTGGAGCCAGTTAATTCTTGGTTGCAGAGGCTGTGCTATGCATTGTGACACGTTCAGCAGCATCCCTGGCGTCCACCCATCAGACGGCAGTAGCACCCACCTCCCAGTCTGGCAAAAAGATTTCCTAACATTTCCAGATATCCTCTGGGGGCAAAATCACCCATCATTAAGAATCACTGCTTTATGCCCTGTACTTCTGCCTTAAAAAGCCCTTTCTATGTAATATTGATAAGGCTACATCCTTTATTTACTTCTAGTATTTGTATTAAGTATATATATATATATATAATATTGTTATATGTTATATTAATTTGTGAAAATTTGGCTTCTGTAATACTTTTAACCTTCCCATCTGTTACCTGGAGCTTGCTATATATTTTTGGTCAATGCTATAATTTTTCTTTCATAAGGACTCCTGTCTCTCTTGCTCTCCAAACTGGTAGAAAGACAGAAAAAATTACTTTGAGATAGTGACATATAAAGCACATAAATCTATGTTTCCAGTTATAAATGACTATTAATTGTTTTCTTTTTAGAAAAGAAAAGGATAAAAGATGTCTGTTCAAGTGCAACAACAAGTTGTCACAGAAATATTCCCATAAAGGGTAAGTAAGTGAGAGGCAGGGCCTCGCCCTCAGGCTCCCCAGGGCCCCGGCCTGCTGTGCTGGTCAGGGCTGCACGCCCTGTCTCTGGGGGTGAGCACCCTGTTGCTTCTGCCCCGCTGTGCTCTGGTGTGTCTCTTGGGGACACAGTCCTCCTCTCCCTCCTTCTCCTTCCCCTCTTCCTCCTCTACTTGAATTCATTTTCCCTCTCCTTTTTTTTTTAAAGAATTGCCATATTTTTAAAATATTTATGTATTCATTTATTTGGTTGCGCTTGGTGTTCGTTATGGCAGGCAGGTTCCTTAGTTGCAGCTTACGGGCTCCTTAGTTGTGGCATGAGAACTACTAGTTGCGGCATGAATGTGGGACCAGGGATCGAATGCAGGCCCCCTGCATTGGGAGCGTGGAGTCTTATCCACTGTGCCAACGGGGACGTCCCTCCCTCTGCTTTTATAACGTACTTCTTGGGCATTATCTCTGGTCACTCTCCCTTCCCTCTTTAAGCGCCAGCCACGCTGGCCTTTTTTCCTCATTAACTTATTACTGAAGTATAACAGGTGCTACCCAATCTGTGGTCCACAGACTGGTGACATCTACAAGCCTGCTCGCCGCAGGTCTGCAAAAATCAGGAGCTTGTAAATCAGCTGTGACTCTGAGCACACTGGTTTCATAGCAAGACCCCAGTGGAAACAGCAGCGCATTGATTTCTATTCTGGTCAGATTCCTGTCTCGTCGCAGGCCAGCATCTTGAGGAGCACTGATGCACCGTGCTTGTGGAAAAATGCATGTACATACTGCACAACTTCAGGAATGAACACAAAGGAAGAGGCCACACGTACCCAGCACCCAGGTCAAGAAATAGAACATAATCCACACCCATATTCCAATCCCTACCCAGAGCCCCAAGGGTCGCCAGCAGCCTGATCTCTCTGAGCATTGTCACTTTGACATGAACGCTTCACCCTCCATCCTTCTCAGGGCCTGCTCAGTATGTCTCCTCCCTCCTTCACACGCTCCGTCCCCAAAGCCAACCCCCTCACCCTCCTTCCTCCTTTGTTACACAGCCTCCGGCTCACCTTGAACAAAGCCTTCTCTGACCCAGCAGGCAGGGTATTTTTTCTTGGTGGCGCTTGTCACAGGTATCATTTGTTTCTGATAGTATCAGATCTCTTTTTTTTTAAACTTACTTTACTTTACTGAAGCATAGTTGGCTTACAATGTTGTGTTAATTTCTACTGTACAGCAAAGTAATTCAGTTAGGTATACATATACATGTACCTATTCTTTTTCAAATTTTTTTCTCATTTAGGTTGTTAGGTAATATTGAGCAGAGTTCCCTGTTCTATACAGTAGGTTCTTGTTGGTTATCCATTTTATGTTTTTCTATTTACTTATTTTAACATCTTTATTGGAGTATAATTGCTTTACAATGGTGTGTTAGTTTCTGCTTTATAACAAAGTGAATCAGCTGTACATATACATATGTCCCCATATCTCCTCCTTCTTGCGTCTCCCTCCCACCCTCCCTATCCCACCCCCCTAGGTGGTCAGAAAGCACCGAGCTGCTCTCCCTGTGCCATGCGGCTGCTTCCCACTAGCTAGCTATTTTACATTTGGTAGTGTACATATATGTCCATGCCACTCTCTCACTTCGTCCCAGCTTACCCTTCCCCCTCCCCCTGTCCTCAGGTCCATTCTCTAAATCTGCGTCTTTATTCCTGTCCTGCCCCTAGGTTCCTTAGAACCTTTTTTTTTTTTTTTAGATTCCATGTATATGTGTTAGCATACAGTATTTGTTTTTCTCTTTCTGACTTACTTCACTCTGTATGACAGTCTCTAGGTTATCCATTTTAAATATAGCAGCATGTTAATGTCAATCCCAAACTCCCAAACTATCCCTCCCCTGGACCCTTCCCCCCTGGTAACCATAAGTTCGTTCTCTAAGACTGTGAGTCTGTCTCTGTTTTATCACAAGTGTAATTAACTGTCTATGTACATCCTGTTCACTGAGCAAAACTCAAATGACGTCAGAACATGGGTTCATCTTGCTCATTGCTCTATGTCTCCTCTGTGCCTTGGGGTTTGTGCTTAAATAGCTGTCAAATCAACACATTATTCATTCTTTCTCATCAAGTATGAATACCAATATCAGGGCCTCCAGTGACGCATACAGTGAACTTCATGAAATTGAAAAAGTGCCCCTTCCACCATACACTTGACCTACGTCTGTCAGAGCTGATTCTTGAGACCAGGCCCTTTGCTGCCCTCTGCTGGAAGAACGTAGGAAGTGTGCAAATGGATTACAGCTCTGATGCGACTAGGAGCCCCCCACCCTCCCACCGTAAAGGGGAAATCCTTACTCAGTGCACATCCCACACTACCATATGCAGAGGCCCTGCCAACAATATATAAGTGTGTAGAGCACTTTACAGTTGGCAAAGTACTTTGTTCCACATTTTGCCACTTAATCCTCAAAGAGGTATTTTTCGGTCTGTTTTCCAGATTCAATTAGAGCATAAAAAGACTTGCATGAGCTAAAATCAACCTAGGTGTTTTAATCCCAAGTCCTTTGTCCTTTACACTGAAAAAAAAAAAAAACTCCTGGTGTTTTTAAGAAACACAAGTAGGAAGCACAGAGTCCAGGCAAAGGCTGAGAGCTCTCCGTCTGCACCAGCTTTTCCTGTCTCCTTAGCACCTCCACCCTGGCTGTGACTCCTGATTTAACGTCGTGTCTCTGTGCTCTTATCCATCACGTGATGTGGAGTCTTGTTGCGGTGTTTCTGATGGCATGGAAAGAGCACGAGACTAGGGGCCGGCACGTCCGGATTCCAGTTCTAGCTCCATCTCACACAGTGTGCTGACCGCCAGCAGTTCTGTCTCCAAATCTGCACCTGAGTCCCCCATCTCTAACATGAGGATCACTGCCTTTGCCTTTCTTTTGTTACAGGTTGTAGTGAAAATAAACAATAGAATGTGTGTGCTGCTTTTACTATTCCCGTAACTAGGGCTTCTCCTCCAGCCACTCCATCCCCCACCAGGCCCCTTGTGTACAAAGCATAGAGCTCCGGCCTTCTCCCCACGCCATGTCTTTGCAGGCATAGTTCCACCCTGTGCCTTTTCTCTGTGTTCTGTAAGAACCCCTGTACTTAGTCTTCCCAATCACTCACTGGGTTCTTTTTCCATTCTGCTTTTCCTTGTTCTTTTCATTTCCTCCACCAGGCTTTTCATCTCTATGAACCCCCTTTGTTCTTCCCCCGCCCCCACCGCGCAGCATGTGGGATCTTAGTTCCCCCACCAGGGATCGCACCTGGGCCCCATGCATTGGAAGCTCCAAGTCTTAACCACTGGACCGCCAGGGAAGTCCCTCCCTTTGTTCTTTAATTGCTGATGGACTTCCCAAGTTTGCTCACATTTACTAGCAGTGACCTAATAGATGCGGGAGAGCTCCACACAGGCCTCGCCCTCAGGCTTCCATCGTTAGAGGCTTGTTTACTGAGATGAGGTGTGAGATGGAGCCAAACGCAGGATCATCAGGACCACATCGGAAAGCTGTCTCCCTTCCTTTGCGACATCTTTGTCTGCTTTTGGTATCAGGGTGATGGTGGCCTCGTACAATGAGTTTGGGAGTGTTCCTCCCTCTGCTATGTTTTGGAAGAGTTTGAGAAGGGGAGGTGTTAGCTCTTCTCTAAATGTTTGATAGAATTCGCCTGTGAAGCCATCTGGTCCTGGGCTTTTGTGTGTTGGAAGATTTTTAATCACGGTTTCAATTTCAGTGCTTGTGACTGGTCTGTTCATATTTTCTATTTCTTCCTGGTTCAGTCTCAGAAGGTTGAGCATTTCTAAGAATTTGTCCATTTCTTCCAGGTTGTCCATTTTATCGGCATAGAGTTGCTTGTAGTGATCTCTCACGATCCTTTGTATTTCTGCAGTGCCAGCTGTTACTTCTCCTTTTTCATTTCTAATTCTATTGATTTGAGTCTTCTCCCTGTTTTTCTTGATGAGTCCGGCTAATGGTTTATCAATTTTGTTTATCTTCTCAAAGAGCCAGCTTATAGTTTTATTGATCTTTGCTATTATTTGCTTCATTTCTTTTTCATTTATTTCTGATCTGAGCTTTATGATTTCTTTCCTTCTGCTGACTTTTGGGGTTTTTTGCCAATATCACTGATGAACATAGATGCAAAAATCCTCAACAAAATACTAGCAAACAGAATCCAACAGCACATTAAAAGAATCATACACCATGATCAAGTGGGGTTTATCTCAGGAATGCAAGGATTCTTCAATATATGCAAATCAATAAATGTGATACACCGTACTAACAAATTGAAGGAGAAAAACCATATAATCATCTCAATAGATGCAGAGAAAGCTTTTGACAAAATTCAACACCCATTTATGATAAAAAACCCTGCAGAAAGTAGGCATAGAGGGAACTTACCTCAACATAATAAAGGCCATATATGACAAACCCACAGCCAACATCGTCCACAATGGTGAAAAACTGAAACCATTTCCACTAAGATCAGGAAAAAGACAAGGTTACCCACTCTCACCACTCTTATTCTACATAGTTTTGGAAGTTTTAGCCACAGCAATAAGAGAAGAAAAAGAAATAAAGGAATCCAAATTGGAAAAGAAGAAGTAAAGCTGTCACTGTTTGCAGATGACATGTTACTATAGATGGAGAATCCTAAAGATGCTACCAGAAAACTGCTAGAGCTAATCAATGGATTTGGTAAAGTAGCAGGATACAAAACTGATGAACAGAAATCTCTGGCATTCCTATACACTAATGATGAAAAATCTGAAAGTGAAATTAAGAAAACAGTCCCATTTACCACTGCAACAAAAAGAAGAAAATAACGTAGGAATAAACCTACCTAAGGAGACAAAAGACCCATATGCAGAAAATGATAAGACACTGATGAAAGAAATTAAAGATGATACAAATAGATGGAGAGATATACCATGTTCTTAGATTGGAAGAATCAACATTGTGAAAATGACTCTACTATCCAAAACAATCTACAGCTTCACTGCAATCCATGTCAAACTACCACTGGCATTTTTCACAGAACTAGAACTAAAAATCTCACAATTTGTATGGAAACACAAAAGACCCCGAATAGCCAAAGCAATCTTGAGAAATAAAAATGGAGCTGGAGGAATCAGGCTCCCTGACTTCAGACTATCCTACAAAGCTACAGTAATCAAGACAGTATGGTACTGGCACAAAAACAGAAATATAGGTCAATGGTACAGGATAGAAAGCCCAGAGATAAACCCACACACATATGGTCACCTTATCTTTGATAAAGGAGGCAAGAATATACAGTGGAGAAAAGACAGCCTCTTCAATAAGTGGTGCTGGGAAAACTAGACAGCTACATGTAAAAGAATGAAATTAGAACACTCCCTAACACCATACACAAAAATAAACTCAAAATGGATTAAAGACCTAAATGTAAGGCCAGACACCATCAAACTCTTAGAGGAAACATAGGCAGAACGCTCCATGACATAAATCACAGCAAGATCCTTTTTGACCCACCTCCTTGAGAAATGGAAATAAAAACAAAAATAAACAAATGAGACCTAATGAAACTTAAAAGCTTTTGCACAGCAAAGGAAACCATTAACAAAACAAAAATACAACCCTCAGAATGGGAGAAAATATTTGCAAATGAAGCAACTGACAAAGGATTAATCTCCAAAATTTACAAGTAACTCATGCAGCTCAATATCAAAAAAAATAAACAACCCAATCCAAAAATGGGCTGAAGACCTAACTAGACATTTCTCCAAAGAAGATATACACATTGCCAACAAACACATGAAAGGATGCTCAACATCACTAATCATTAGAGAAATGCATATCAAAACTACAATGAGGTATCACTTCACACCAGTCAGAATGGCCATCATCAAAAAATCTAGAAACAATAAATGCTGGAGAGGGTGTGGAGAAAAGGGAACACTCTTGCACTGCTGGTGGGAATGTGAATTGATACAGCCACTATGGAGAACAGTATGGAGGTTCCTTAAAAAACTACAAATAGAACTACCATATGACCCAGCAATCCCACTACTAGGTATATACCCTGAGGAAACCAGAATTCAGAAAGAGTCATGTACCAAAATGTTCATTGCAGCTCTATTTACAATAGCCCGGAGATGGAAACAACCTAAGTGCCCGCCGTCGGATGAATGGATAAAGAAGATGTAGCACATATATACAATGGAATATTACTCAGCCATAAAAAGAAACGAAATTGAGCTATTTGTAATGAGGTGGATAGATCTAGAGTCTGTCATACAGAGTGAAGTAAGTCAGAAAGAGAAGGACAAATACCGTATGCTAACACATATATATGGAATTTAAGAAAAAAAAAATGTTATGAAGAACCTAGGGGTAAAACAGGAATAAAGACAGAGACCTACTGGAGAACAGACTTGAGGATATGGGGAGGGGGAAGGGTGAGGTGTGTTAGGGCGAGAGAGAGACATGGACATATATATACTAACAAACGTAAGGTAGATAGCCAGTGGGAAGCAGCCGCATGGCACAGGGAAACCGGCTCGGTTCTTTGTGGCTGTCTGGAGGGGTGGGATAGGGAGGGTGGGAGGGAGGGAGACAAAGAGGGAAGAGATATGGGAACATATATATATGTATAACTGACTCACTCTGTTATAAAGCAGAAACTAACACAC